TGTAAATGCCTGCCTTGGGTATGTGGCTGAGTATTCACTGGGCATGCCTTGAGGCTGTGTTTAATCCCCATCAGAATAGAAAAAAGAGGGACTAACTCATTAAATATTTAACAAGGAAGAGGAAAGAATAATCATCTCTGAAGGAAAACATATAATTTTAAAAATGTAAAAGATCCAACATTCTGTTTATGTGAGTGTGTCTGTATTTGCAAATAGTCCAATTTCATAACAAGTTCTTGTTGAACAAAACTGTCCAACTGCATTCTGATGAAACTTATTAATCAAATATAAGTTTCTTGTGTATTTTTCCTTTCACAACTCTGTTTAGAGCATTCTTAAATTGATGATGAAAATAATAACATGAAATTCATCCCACACATATTTGACCACCATATATATATTCATGTTTATAATGTGGAGGCATGGTGTTCCAAAAGAAAAAAAAGATATTTGGTAAATGAAGACATGTCATATAAATACATGCTTTTAAACAGAAAATAATTTGTTGACAGTGGATTGGAAATTTTCTCCATATTGAAGAAAGTCTTTGAAGACTAGAAATTGATGTATAGTTATATTTTTGCTGGGGAATGGCATAGCACTCCACACGGTAGTATTAGAGACTCAGGGAGCTCATAACACTTACAGGACGCAGAGACTAAGGAAACTCCTGAGAGTCAGGTAGTCCTTCCCCACAGTAAGGTAAGCTGTGAAGAATGGCTGAGGGAAGAACAGAGGGAACATCACTACCAGTAATAAGTTCAGGGAAATATGGTGATACATTATGACTCACCTCCTGTGGGGGAGTGGGCTATTTATAGCTGTTGCTCCATTAACCCATGCTACTATAAGTAATCCCAATAAACCCATTAACTAACTAAGTTAGATGTGGCTGGAACCAGGACTGTGGTGTTCTGTTGTCCAGTCTATCTTAATTGCAGGGAAACAGACTCAGCAGGAAAGGTATAACAATAACGCCAGAATGAGGAGGAGAGAACAGTAGAGACGGAGGAAGAGTCCTTAGAAACCATGTAGCTAAAGCTTTGCCAGAATCAAGAATACAGCATGGATTGGAGAGTATGTGTCACAAGGAAGAAAAACCCAGGCAGACAGGAAAAAGGAAAGTTCACACATAGACAACATCATTGCCAAGGCATAATGCATGGATTTGGAGGCAAATGTGATAGAAACCACTGAAATGTTCAAGGAAAAGAGTTAAATATGACTGGAAGTGCATTCCAAGGACATAACTTTTTCTGCTTGAGGGAGAATCAGTGAAGTATAAGAAACAATAGGAGAGGTAAAAATGAAACAAACAAACAAAAAAACTACCACAGGTAATTAAATAGCTTGGGATTCATTTCATATCAATAGGTTGACATCAAAAAGAATTTTTAAGTAAATGTTTTAAGATCAATTAATAAGTATGTCTAATGTTTGGTTTTACAAAGCTGAAGCCAACAATGTTCACTGTATGAATAGTAATACTTTCTCACTTTTCTCTTTAAATGATCTTTGTTAGAACATGTCTTCTCACCACTGGATAGTATATTTGGATATAGTAAGTCTTGTTACTTCCTTATACTAGGAACCTAAATTTCAAATGTCACAAAAGTTGACTGTAATTTAGTATATACTTTTATATTTTTGGTTGTGAGCCTAGCCTTTAACGGCTGAGCCATCTCTCTAGCCCGTAATTTAGTATATACTTTAAAAACTGTTTTCCATTTTTAAGCTTGTCTCCTGTCTGGCTGGCATCTGAGTTGAAAATTCGACAGGTAAGGAGAAAAAGGGCATGCTGACTGCTTTATCACATCAGACTCTGCTTAATCTGCCTCTCATGGTATTATAAAATTGTTTTATTAGGAAACAATATTGATGATTCCATCTGACTAGTGGTTTAATCAGTGAGCCATTGAGGACAAACAAATAAATTAGATGATTCTTAATTTTATACATATGATTAATTCAAGCTTGGGACAATTGCTTTCTCTACCACAAAGTCTTCCTCAATTGTTGTTTCTTGCAAACATGATGCCTTTAATTGCCCACAGGAGAGAGCTTTGGGATCTTCTCCAGAGACACAGAAACACAACACAACTCCCATTGATACAGATACTATTGATGGATGCATCTGAACCTGTGCAGTGCCGTGAGAGTCAGACAAAAACCATGAGTGTTGTGGGATGTCTTTCTGTATGCTGTGAATCTGTGTGGCTCCCATTGGAAAATTGACCAGGAAGCTTACAGCCAGGTGGGAAATCCAAGCAGAGACACAGAGAGAAGGGCAGAGTTGAGAAAGATGCAAGTCCACTGCCAAAAAAGCAACAAGATGCCAGTAGACCGGTAACATCACAGCCATGTGACAACACATAGATTAATAGGAATGGGTTAATTTAAGATGAACGGACTAACTAGCAAGAAGCTGAAGCCATAGGCCATACCATTTGTAATTAATATGAGCCTCAGTGTGATTATTCTATAAGTAACTGCAGGACCATGGGGACAGTCAGGACAGAGAAACTTCCGGCTACACATGAGACTGTGTTTGTCTTGATGAAACTATCTAGAAGGACAGGACAGTGTTCATACAACCCCTCCCCACATTTATTTCCAAGAGCAAAACAAAGCTGGCCAACATTTGTCAGACAAGGAGGCATCTGATTAAGAGGATATGTCAATCCTGTCACCATTTCTTTAAACCTCTTGAAATTCACTAAACAAATGTTAAAGAATTTTCCCTATCCCATTAGAGAAAGGAACGAGTCATGAAATGCAGAGGATTCTCACAAGTGTTTTCAAATCCATTACCTCTCTCTCTCTCTCTCAACTTCCTTGGATATCTAATTTTTTTTTTTTTTTTGGTTTTTCGAGACAGGGTTTCTCTGTGTAGCTTTGCGCCTTTTCCTGGAACTCACTTGGTAGCCCAGGCTGGCCTCGAACTCACAGAGATCCGCCTGGCTCTGCCTCCCGAGTGCTGGGATTAAAGGCGTGCGCCACCACCGCCCGGCGGATATCTAATTTTTACTTTATAATTTAAATGGTAAAGATGGCAGGCCTGGTATTGGATGGTTTTTACCAAATACTTTATATTTGCATTTTCCCAGATCTTTTTCCTCTTTACCATTTAACACTTAACACTTCCATTAAGTGACTCTCTGAAATCATCTGAAGTTGCCTAAATTTTCATTTGATATTATCACGATAATTTTAAAATTGAGATTTTCTTACTCGTCTTTCAGAGGACAAAGTGGCTCACAGAAATCATGAAATATATATTTACATGTATAACATGTAATATGTACATACAACCTGATGAAGTCAGCTGATATTTGTTTCTGACAAAAAGATTGCATGTCAGTATTGTGTAAACTTTAAATATGATAATAACTTCACTGATACAAAAATAATCTGTGTCTTAAAGAGTATGTCTTAACAATTAATATTCACATATTAGCAAATACATACCACAATTCTCTTTATGAGTCTGGGATACCTCACTTGGGATGATTTTTCCTAGTTCCATCTATTTACCTGCAAGTTGCATAATGTCATTTTTTAATGGTTGAGTCACAACTCCATTGTGTAAATGTGCTACAATTTCTTTATCCATTCTTCTGTTGAGGGACATCTAGGTTGTTTCCAATTAGTGGTTATTATTAATAGAGTCACAGTAAACATGGCTGAGCAAGTGTCTCTGTGATAGGATGAAACATGCCTTGTGTATATGCTCAATTGGTATAGCTAGGTCTTGGGGTATGTCGATTTCCATAATCTTGAGGAACCACCACACTGATTCCCAAGGTTGTTAGGACAAGTTTGCCCTCTCACCAGCAATGGATGAGTGTTCATTTGCTCTACATTCTCACCAGCATTAGCTGTCAATTGTGTCATTGATAACTAAACTATAATCCCCAAAACCACAGATATTAGGTATAGAGTAAGAGACGGGGGTGCATATAGATATATCATTAGGAAAGGGAAATCAAATAGATGGTTATGTATGAATGGGGGAGGGGCCAGAACCAGAGGATCAAATAGGGAGGGAGATAGGGGAGGGAATAAGGAGAGAGAGACCTAAAATTATGAGTGATTTTAAGGGTAGTATGGAAACCTAATATAGTAGAAATGTTCTAAAATACATAAATATCTGAAAGTAAGTGAACTAAATGAAATTGCCAAAAAACAGGGAAAACAGAATTCCAACTGGTCATGGATTGTCACCAAATGAAGTTTCTGGTACCAAGATTGGGTTATATCTAATTGAGTTGTTGGCCCAAGGTTCCCCATTGATGAAGACAACACCTACACAGCTCATTGTAACATGAAGAAGTCAAGCTGATGCCTATGTAGAACCTTCACTCCTATGTTCTAGAGTCTTTGGTACAGGAAAGTACTCTTCACACTTCCAAACTGTGGTAGTTGAATGTATTGGCCTCATAAACTCATAGGGAATAGCACTATTAGAAGGTGTAGCTTTGTTGGAGTAGGTATGGCATTGTTGAAGAAAGTGTGTCACTGTGGGTTGAACTTTGATGCTTCATGCATGTTCAAGATACCACCCAGTGAGACACACCAATGGCAGGAATGGTATATATCCTTAACCACTGAGATATTTCTCCAGCCCCTAAAGCAGGTTAAAAAACATTGGAGTCTTTAGAGATGGATCAGTAGTTGGGAGCACTTCCTGTTCCCTCAGAAGACCTGAGTTCAGCTCTGAGCACCCACATGGCTGCTTACAGCTGTTAGTAAGTCCAGTTCCAGGGGATCCAGTGCCTTCCTCTGGCCTTTATGGGATCCAGGCATACACATGGTGCACAGACATACATGTACATGGCAAAACACTCGTACCCTTAAAAATAAAAATAAATATTCAAACCTCAAAGACAAAACAGTATGTCTTATTTATTTAATAAGTGTAGAGTCTCAAAGTGGATTATTGTTTTATTATGTACGTTACTTAACAGAGTAAATATAAATAAATGTATTTCTTTCCTTACCCACTAAAATTGTTTTCAACAGTTCCCTTTCTGTCTTTGATGTAGTTCCCTCTAAATAGAATCCAAGGAAAGGAATCTCTTCTTACATCTTGACAAATATGTGATAACTGAGCTGCAGTTTCATTTTAGACTCAGAAAGGAGGAAGTATAAATGAATTCTGGCTTGATTGAGCATTTGGGAGTTCTCCTAAAATAAGAAAACACAAAGAAAGATCTTTCAGAAAGATTATCTTATCTGCTGTTTCTTTTATATCTCTTTAATATATTATTTGTAAAAGTTATAAGCCTGGGTACTGGCCAAGCTGAGTGGGGAAAAAAAGAGAGAAAAATACGTCTATTATATATTCTTTGTTCACGAGAACTCAATGTTCTGATCTGAAATACTCACCACCCACTCATGCATGTCACTAGGAAGAAAACGTCTGCTGTACTGCTAGAGAATACTTGTCCTGAAAACCAACAATCTGATTTTTTTAGTAGTCCTAGACAAAGCAAAGTATCATTTATATCCCATTTGACCAAATGAGGTTTACTTTTCTTTAAGTCTCTATCTTATTGAAACATACGAATCTAAAACCTTTGAAATGTTTCTGTTTGACATTCCCTAGGATATCTGTAAAAAGATGTTATTTAAAATCTTTTATCAACACAAATTATTTTTCTTGTAAGAGAAGTAAATTGTCTTGTATGAATAGAACTGGAGAAGATTATGATATGGGAGACAGACTTAGACTTTTTGTCACAGTTCTACATAATACATATCACTTGTCTATTAGCAGCCAAGTATGCTTAGTAGGAGGAAACCCTTTATTATCAATGAAAGTTTCATTTATAAAATATATGCATTCACACACACACACATATATATATACACATATATGTGTATGTCTATGAATATATATGTATGTATTTGTATATATAAGATTTAGGATGAAGGAAAATGATAATTTTACAGTTGCTTTACTAATTATAAAATTTGATACTATCAAAATTTTCCAAGAGTGTAAAGCACATAATTTTTGATACTTTTTAAACTGTTTTTGGATACTGAATTAGCACTTTGTGTGCTAAATCAGTAATATACTGAATGCTACTTCATTGATATGCTTCAGGGGAAGAACTTGCACATGGGTCTCATCTAGTTGCACACAATGAAGTGTGATACATAATCTAGCATTATACATTAACTTATAATTTGGGAAATTGAAGTTTTCAGTCCCTGAGAAAATAATTAAATCCCAGAGTTCCACAGAATGAAAGTTGAAATTCATTTCCACCATAAAATACACATGTGGGAGGGAAAATAAAAGGATATTTTGTTGTTGTTATATTCTAGAAAGTCTAGTCCCTGGAAGGGTACAGTGTGATATATAAGGAGCAACACAGTTAATGATGTGCTTGGAAATTCTATCTAAGTCACAATTATAAAATAAGAGCACATTCTGCCAAATGCTCTGAGAGAGTGAAAATATTAAAAATAATTTTGAAAACAAAATAAACTCCTTTGACAGTGTTTTGTAATTAAAGTTCAATGTACTTTCAAACACAAGAAGTTATATTATTAAGCTGTATTTCAAAAGACTTTTTTTTTTCAAAAACCAAAGCTGCTCATATTAATTAAAAACCTCCAGCAATTGCTTCTATTTCAGATACATGGACAGAATCAGATGTACAGGTGAATTCGTTATAACCTGTTTGCTCTACAAATGTTAGTAAGTACACTGGCAGAAGAATATGTAGGATTGACTCAGCTTTCGGCACTTGTCACAACTTACATCACTATTATATAAATAACTATGTTATATCTTACCACAGTAACATAAACTTTGCAGTATAAATAAATGAATGAAAAAATAAGATCAACAAAAATAGATTTTTTCCTTAATGTGTTGGTTGTTTTAAACACTGGCAATATCTAAACTGAATCAAACATCATTTTTTTATGTTGAATAGTTCTTTTCCAAAGCATATTTGATACTTAAAATCAAATACTCTCAGATGATTCAGAAAGTTATCCAGGAATATAGGGCAATATGCAAGAGTTTAGGCCAATTCCTCATGAAAACTGAGATTTCCTTTAGATGATACCTTGCCATCCGCATATTTAGATTTTGAGTTAATACAATAATTAGAAGTAATGACTAAGGAGTAAGAATTAAGCATATGCTCTATTTATAAACTTCTTCCAATCAAATGCTGAAACTTCCATATTGAAAAAGTTTTTATATATACATATATATGTATATATATACATATATATTTATACATCTGCAAGCAAACACACAAACACAAACACATGTATATAAAAGTGGGCACATTAACACACACACACACACACACACACACACACACACACACACACACACACAATCTCCTTCCAAAGTATAGTGTCAATAAGCTAATGCTCCATTTAGAGAATTTCTAATTTTGACATAATAGTTCCAAATATATTCTTTTTTTTCAAGTGGAGGGACAATTTTATTAGCATTGAAACAAAAATCTCCAGAACAAGCAAGTGATAAATCAGAGCAGCTACCCAGACAGGAAAATGTAAGAAATATGGGGAAAAGCCATTTATTTGAGTTTAGCCTTTATGGAAGCCTATGAAAGAGTAAGAATGCCCAAGAAAGCCCAAAGTCAGAGAACATGCACCTAGGAAAATAGACTTTTAAAAAGCAGGAGAAAAAATGGAAAGTTGCCACAAAGCTAACCTACAGTGGTGTATAGGACTGCGCTGTTTTCCAACATACTCTGCTAAATCAAAGGACTCTATGTACTTCTGTGCTTCTTTTCGTTATGGCTTCCATTTTCCTTTCAATATATAACATGTGTAATGTATTATATATATTATGCAATTAATGTAATTTGTAAATTTGGAAGAAAACAAGAAGGGTTGTGTGGGGAGATATTGGAGGGTGGAAAGGAAAGTAGAAGTGATGTAATTTTATTATGAGCTGAAAAAATAAAAGAAATAATCTAAATAATTAATCTCTAAAGAAAAATAATTAATTAATATTATGAAAATGGCCATCCTAAGAAAAATAATTTATGGAATTAATGCAGTAGCAATCAAAATCCACACAACATTATTCAAATTAATAGAAAAAATAAGGCTAAACTCCACATGGAACCATAAGAGACCCTAGACAGCAAAAATAATTATGAGTACAAAGAACAATGCTGAAGGGATACCATACCAGATTTCAAGCTATATTATTGAGCTATAGTAATACAAAATATCATGGTACTGCTACAAAAGAGACATGCAGAATAAACAAACAAATAAAGACCCATACATGAGTATATATAACTATAGCCTTATGATATTTGACAAACACATTGAAACTACAGACTGCAACAATGATCATATTTTTGGAAAAAAGTAAATGTCTGTAGTAGAAAAAAGAAATTAGACCAATATCTATCACCATGAATGAAATTCAACCCAAATCACATATCTTGACATTAAAAAAAGTATTTCAAATTGAAGTCATACTTCACCAAGCTTCAATCTAATGATATGTTTGCTTTTGAGAAAAAAATGGAAACTTGAAGACAGAATGTGATCTTTCACATGAAGATGTAGAAATATGAAAACAAAGAAGTAAGAGAGATGTGTGAAGACATAGTTAAATTTATGATGCCATATTCCCAGTATTCCTAGATGATTCTGAGAAACTGGAAAAGGCAAATACAGTTCCAAAGCTAGAGAATTCAAAGGGAGTAAGGCCTTGCTCAACTTGTTGATATGAGACTCCTGTCTCCAAAAGTATAACAATTACTGATACCCCGAGTCCCTGAAATGTGGCATATTGCTATGGTAACTCTGGTAGCCATGCTCAGTAACTTTGTTATAGAGAATTGTAATTATCCCTCTTTGTTTATAAGTAAAATTTCATAATACTTTAAAAGAAAAAAGAGGAGTATAAAATAGAACAAAAGGATGACCTTTCCTACTATTATAATAAATCTTTGTTTTGACTTTGCTTAGAGCCCAGAGCATACTTACTATTTCACAAATATATCATGGGCACTATGTTACCACACGTTAAACATAATTTCTTTGATTCTTCATTAGACATGGATTTGAGTGATGCAAAAAATTATGTTTATTTTATGGGTAGATTTACTTACCACCCTCACATTTCAGTTTTTTTTTAATTAACTCTTTGGAACTTTTATGAAAGTTTATAGTAGTTTATTTATATATAATAGTTCCTCTAATTACTCCCAGATCTACTATCAAGTCTAATATTGCTACCTATAAATTCCTGACCACGTGGTTTTCTACTGGACATGATCAACTTACCAGGGGAAACACTCTTAAAAACATCTGTCTCTCTCCTGGTATCAATCAGTTACCAAAAATTTCTCTGTAAGAGGTAGTACTTTATGCTCACTCTATGTTCCTTAGTTGAACTTTGTCCAGTGTGAGCTTGCGGATGCTATCCAAGTCATTGTCATTCCAACTGGTAGGTACCCTGTTGTGTCCCGAGTAGTCATCCAGCATCTCTGGCTTACACTCTTTCCACAGCCTCCTCTGCAATGATCCATGTACCTTGGCAGAAAAGGGCTATGATTTAAACATACCATTTAAAGATGAACATTTTGCTACTCTTATTCTGTGCATATTGACCAGTGTGGTTCTATGTTTTAACAACATCTATTCCAAATAAACAGAAGTTTTTTGATGAGGCTAAGAGATGGGTTATTTTGTGTGTGTAATGATAAGTCATTAGGAGTCAGCTTCATATTCTGTATGCTTGTCCTGATACAGAGCAGGATGCCACTTCCTATGAAAACTAATTTCCTTATCTCTTGCAACCCAAGCCTTGGCCACTAAAATAAATAAATTTCCTGGTGTTCTTTTGCTCCCAACTATATATTTCGTATTTCTTTTTTAACCCCTTTCTCTTTTGTAGTGTGGACCTGCACATTGAATTCAGTAATACCTATGCTACAGATTCAATATAATGCTGACTTGAAAATTTTTTATCCAAATAAATTACTTTATTACTATTTAATTTAGCCACAGGAAATTTTCTAGAAGTTGGCATACAAAGCTAGATTATTTGCCAACAGATCTCAGGAATGCCCTCTAACCAAGTTGCTTCCAAATTCCTGTTTCTTCTTTAACTCTTATGACTACAACCTCTGCAGTCCACATTGATTTTAGCACTATGACCGCCTAAGCTCACATAAAGTAGGCTCTTAGCGATCTGTTTACAGAATTCAACTGCTTTTCCAGTCCAAAATCCCAAATTAGTCCACATTCCTTCAAAACCCAATATCGTCAAATTCCTCATAGTAACTGTGCACTTTCTGTTGCCAAACTATGCATTAGTTATTTTTCTGTTGCTGTGATAAAATACAATATACAAAAGCAACATAGGATAGAGATTTATTTGAACAGTTCTAAAAGATAAGGGACCATCATTTCTAGGAGACATGGAGCTAGTAGGAGGCATGGTGGTTGTAGCAGATTTGTGAAAGTTCACCTTTTGAATCAGAAGGATGAAACAAACAGAACAAAATGGAAATAGTTTGAGGTTATATAATCTGAAAGTCCACCCCAAGGGACATACTTCCTCAAAAAAGTCTGCATCACCCAAATCTCCCCTAAAAGCACATTAAATACAGATCAAGTGTTCAAATAACCAGCCCTCTGGGGGGTCATTTCTCACTAAAACACAGGGTATGATATAGATTTTCCCTATATGTCTGAGCATTCTGCACTCTCTTAACTCTTTTAATCAATACGTGTACAGTCCACGATACTTTTAGCACTTCTACCTTCTAAGCTCACCCTAATCACAACTTACTGAAAATAGAAGCCTCTCTGATGAGGATATAGAGATACATTATCTCTGAGCTGTCACCAGAAGGTATGTTCCAAATTTAGGGTAGGTCTTCCCATCTCAGACATTACAATCAATAAAATCTCCACAGGTCTGAGTAACTGCTTTTTGTTTTGTTGATTACTTCTATAGTGAAATTGACAATCATGATTAGGCACCACAATAGATATGGGTTTCACTTTGTAGAACAGGACTAAATTCAATTAGAAAGCAGTTGGTTACTCCCATGATTTCCACGCCACTATTGCACTGTCGGCATGCCTTGCAGAGTCAGTGCTAATTATAGCTCTCATGATTCACAGAAGAATAATGTTTGTTATTATTATTCTTTTCCAGTACATTGCAGAGGACTTTTTAGCACCGTGAGTGCCAGCTAATAGCATTTTAATTGCAGATTATGATAGCTCCATAATCTTTGGCTCATTTATATGGTGTTTTCAGCAATAAGGTCATATCTTCAAGTTCTGAAGGGTGATCAACAACAGTGGCAAAGACTTGGAATGTTTAGAGACATATGGGACCTCACAGGAAAACAACTCCAATAAAAGTAATTCATTCCTAACCTTAGGTTTTTTGGATGCTAGTTAGGAGTGTCTAGTAAGGTCACTTATTTTTTATATTGCTACCACATTATAGGGTAACCATTTTTTTATTCTCTCTCTCTCTCTCTCTCTCTCTCTCTCTCTCTCTCTCTCTCTCTCTCTCTCTGTGTGTGTGTGTGTGTGTGTGTGTGTGTGTGTGTGTGTGTGTGTGTGTATGTGTGTGTCTGACAGATTACTGTGAAACTATCAAATTGGTTTTATATTGCAATTCCTTGATGGATAAGGATGTGGAACTTAAAAAATAAGTTTCTTGGCCATTTGATTAATCCAGCATGGAAACTACCACCAAACTTACAAAGAACAATACTTCCTGAAAGACTGCAAAATAGAAGAGAAGGAAATTTTCCAAATTATTTTTATGAGACTAGTATTATCTTGATATCAGAATGAGACAAAGACCAAAAATAAAATAAAACTATAGGATTATATCTCTGATGAACAGAGAAGTAAAAAAAGAAATGGAAATACCCCCTTTTTCCCTATATAGAAGGATTAATAATGTGAAATATATCCTATCAACATTTGGATGCAATTATTCAAACAACTACAAAATAATCTTAAATTTCATGTGGAACCACAAAATACTAATGATCCCCAAAACAATCCTGAACAACAATAACAAAAACCTTTTTGAGGTATCAGCATACCAGATTTCAAGTAGAAATGTAGCAGTAAAATCATCATGGTACTTGCATTAAAACAAGCTCATGAGACTGACAGTCAAACATTAGGCAGAGCTGGAAAAATCCTGTCTAAGAGGGAGAGGAAAGATTATAGGAGCCAGAGAGGTCAAACACACCCCCCCCCAAAAAAAAAACAGCCCACATAATCAACTACTATGTAGAAATTCAGAGATTGAATCTGCAATCAGGAAGCCTGCATAGATTGACCTAGGCTCTATGCATATATGTTAAGGCTGAATAGTTGGTCTTCTTATAGGACTCTGAACAGTGGGAGTAGGTGCTGTCTCTGACGATTTTGCCTGCTTTAGGGCCCCTTTTCCTCATACTGGGTTGCCCCATCCACCTTCATGGGAGAGAAGGTGCCTAGGTACCTCATCTTATTGCAACTTGATATGTCATGTTTAGTTGATATCCCTGGGAGGTCTGCTTTTTCTGAAGGGAAGCAGAAGAAGAGTGAGTGGATAGGAGAGAAAGGGGATGGTGGTGGTGTTACTAGGAGGAGAGAAATGGGGAGAAGCTGTGATTAGGATGTAGTATTTGAAAGAAAAATAAATTTGAAAAGTCTTATGTATTGCTGGACTACAGTTTAGGGCCCACTTATGAGCCAACATTCTTACTGCCATATGATTATTGACAAAGAGACCAACAATAGATATTGGAGAAAAGACAGAATCATCAGCCAATGGTTATGGTCAAACTGTGTAGTGAAATATACTAGAATGATACCCAGCCTAATCTCTAATTCTGCTTTGCAGAAACCTTAACTTTAAATGGATCAAGGATCTCAGCATAAACCTAGTACTCGGAATCAGACAGAGGAGAAAATGGGAAATATATTGGAACTCATTGTCTTGGATGAGGACATTCTGAACTGGAGCCCTATATCACAGACATTAAGAATAACAATTTACAAATGGGACCACATGAAATCAAAAGGATTATGTAAAGCAAATTATATAATAGCTCTAGTGAAGAAGTACCCCACAGAATGAGAAAATGTCTTTAACAGGTTTACTTACTTCTGACAGAGAATTAGTGTTTAAAATGCCCAAAGAACTCAACATCAAGAAAATAAAAAAGTTACAAATTGGGGCATAAATCTAGATAGAGTTTCTCAAAAGGAGAAACACCATCTCATTTCTTGATAATAAAATAACAAAAATTAATATTCAAATATGTCACTTGTTATTGTCAGAGAGCTGAAAAATATATGACAGCTCAAGGTTGTCCAGAGATCTCATTTCCTAGAATGTCCATTAGGCAATGTCCCAAAAACTAATCTAATTTACCTTGATACAGCTGAATGGCCACCCTTCCTGTCTTCTACCTATTAAGTACCTTACCATGTGAGTATTCTCTGTTATAGCTTTTTGAAAGTCTAAATTAAGAAGTTGTTTGATCTTATTGTGTTTTATTTTAATCTTTAATAAGATAAATCTTGAGAATAATTTGCATTTTCATGTCTTTATTATTCCTTTTTCTTTTATCACCCTGTTCCCTTTCTTTTATTTCCCAAGGCCACAACCCTGGCTCTGCCTGTTTTGATTTCCATCTGGATCATCCTATCATTTACCATATTTAACATATTATGTAAGTCTGAATTTCGCTTTTCCTTAATATTTAGAGTGTGGAAAAAATAATATCATTGAGGTATAAGTTTCAAGTATTCTAACTCACAAATTAATAACCATGTACAGCATGTAGTTGGAAGTTTTTCTGTGTCCTGCCTGGTCTGCAACCATCCAGACCCAATTAAACACACAGAGGCTTTCCCACTCATGTCCCCTAAGTAAAGAGGCTTATATTAATTATAACTGCTTGGCTATTAGTTCAGGCTTATTACTGACTAGTTCTTAAACTTAAATTTACCCATAATTCTTATCTATTTTTAGTCACATGACTTGGGACTCTTTCTGAATTCTGCCTTGTCCTCTTGCTTCCTCTATGTTTAGGTTGTGACTCCTGATTCAGCTTTCCTCTTCCCAGAATTCTCCTTGTCTGCTTATCCCACCTAAACTTCCTGCCTGGTTACTGGCAAATCAGCATTTTATTTATCAACCAATCAGAGCAATACATTCACAGCATACAGAACGACATTCCACAAAACTTGCTCTTTTCTGTCTAATCAAAAAGGAAGGTTTTTAACTTCAACATAGTAAAATTACATATAATAGAACAGTTATCAAATAAAAATTACAGTTACAGTATCTAGTCTATTTGTATTTGGCAAAATTAAAGAAAATATTCTATCTATCCTATATTTGTGAGTCTCAAGCTTCTTATCTAATTTATGTTTTATCGTAACCAAGAAAAATTATAATTATCTAGTCTTCAACTGCATCAAAGACCTCAGAAGCATACAATATTGCATAAGTAAACAAGAAGAGCAATGTAAGCAATTTCCAAAAATCTGGA